GGCTGAACCACCACCGCACCGGGGGGCCAAGGGCCTAGGCGGCGGGCGGGCCATCCTCCTCAGGTCGACCCCCAACCTAAGGACAGGTGGGGACCCAGACGCCTGGAAGGCCCGGTGGCTGGCGGAGCCCCGGGCGACGAGCCGCCAGCCCGCGGAGGGGTGGGGACTGCGGGGCTCGCTTCCGCGGCCCGGGAGGGCTGGGCCCTTTCCCTGAGATCAGAGAGCGAGCGACCTGCTCCCCACGCCCTTCCCACCCAAGAATACTTTTCTTGCTAAGTCACGGCGGCAGGAGGGCGATGCAGCCCGACAGGCCTCGGGTGAAGCCGCGGCGGCCCGGGGAGCCTGCAGCCCCGGGCCCGAGGACCAGAGCCAGGGCAGCGCCCTCCCCGACCAGGCCCCCCTCCTCGGTGCCTCTCACTCAACGGCCGTCGCGGCCGCCATTTTGAGAGCGAGGAGAGGAGAAGAAGAAGGAGGAGGCAGCGGCGGCGGCAGGGGGAGGGGAGAATGGGAGGGAGGGGACCGGCGCAGCCACATCGTCAGGCCGCCAGCCCGGCCCGCGGCCGCCCGAGCGCGGTGGAGGAGACAAGAGGGGAGGACGCAGAGCGTCGCCACCTTACCGGAGCGCTGCACCGCCGCCTCCGCAGGGCCTCTTCCGTCCTTCACTCCCATCCACCGGCGGGGGAGGGGGAGGGAGAGGGAAGGGAGGAAGGAGGGAGGGAGGGAGGGAGGGGGAGGATGGCGCGCTGGGCCCGGTCCCGGGGAGGGGGAGGGGAGGGCCGCGGGCGGGCTCCTCAGCCGTTCCGGGGCTCGAGCCCTAGCCCGGCGCTCGCGCGTCCTCTCGCTCGCGCCCGAGCGCTCCCCTCCGGCTCCTCCTCGCTCCCTGGACCCGCGGGTCGCTGCGCGTTCGCTCCCTTCCCTCGCTATCTCGGCCGCCGGACTCCGCCGCCGCCCCGCCGCTCCAGCTCCGTCTGTCACAGGAGCTGCCCCAACGCCCTGACGTCACCGCGCTGCCGCCGCCCCAGACCCGCCAGGAAGAGGGGAGGGGAGCGGAGGCGCTGGGGCGCATGCGCGGGCTGGGCCGAGCCTGGGCCGCGCTCCCTTCTGCAGGGTGGGCTTGGGTGCTGCTGTACCCCGGGCCGGCGGCCCTGGCTTGCGCCGCGGGCGCAGGTTTTCTTGCTCTTCTGCCCGCTGTACCCTTGGGAAGAGCCCCCTGTCCGACTGCTGGGGCTCATCACAAACTCGGTCTCTGCTTTGGCCCTCATTCCTCTGCCCAGGCGGACCGCGGGTCCCTGGCTGCCTCGAGCCGGGCCAGGCTGCTGCTCCTTTTCTGCCTGTAGCCTGTGGGGGTTATTTCCCCATCCCTCCCCCCACCCACCCCGGAAAAGACGGGGGTAGGTTGGTGGGCTTGGGCCAGAGAGCTATTGAGGTTAAGAGACAGATGGACTGCCTTGTCTCCCTTTCTGTTACAGATTTTCAACTGGAAGGAATCGCCTGTAGATGTGATTCAGCTATTCTTTTCCTTAGTCACACGCACACATCAGAGATTCTGGAAACTGACGTCCACAGAAAGACCTGGAACTTTATCCCTACAAGGCATGTCTGCGTTTTATTACATTATGAATTGAAAGAAATATTGATGACAAGTCTGGGGAATTTGTTGTCAATTTATTCCACAAAGAGACACTTGATTTTTGAAAGGGTAGGTTTGGGGCTCTAAATAATTCAATGTAGAATATTATCTTTATAAGAAGTATTGAATGAGATTACTTCATTAGTCACTTGTGTTTTCTCCCAAAATACAGACTCAGGCTTAACTGATTTTATGAAGATAAATATTGTACATTGTGATTGGGACGCTGAAGAGTTAACATCGCCCATATGAATCCTGGTGTCACCTCTGGCTAGGAGTGTGACCTTGACTAAATTACCTTATCTCTTTTGGGCCTCAGTATCAGTATAAAATAAACCTAGTAGCCAAACAAAGTGGCATATCACCCAAGCTACTTGGGAGACAGGAGAATCGTAAAGACTCAAAAGTTCTCTGCCAGCCTCCGAAACATCCTTTTTTAAAGATAATGATAGTAGTAATAAATGGTCTATGGTGGCTCACATCTATAATCCTAACAGTGAGGAGACAGAGGCAGTCAGATTGCCACAAGTTCGAGGCCAGCATGGTGGACATAGTAAGACCCTGTCTTAAAATAATAAGCCCCACATGGTGACGCCCACCTTTACCCTCAGCACTCTGGAGGCAGACTGAGGTGGGTCTCTGAGTTCAAGACCAGCCTGATCTATAAAGTGAATTCCAGGCCAGACAGAGCTATATAGAGAGCTACCCTGTCTCAAAAAATAAGCAAGTGAACCTGGGCAACTCAAAAGTTTTTAATTTATCATTTTTAAAAGGGTGAAGACACAGCTCAGTAGTAGGGTACTTGCTGAAAGAGAAAGGACAGAAAGAAGGTTGGAATAGACTGACTTGTAAGGTTTTGGGAGAATTAGATGTTGCACATGTTAATGCATCATTCCATGGTGAGGTCTCTTAGGTAACTCATGGAACCATTATTGTCTAGTGCCAAAGCCAGCCTCTTTGTATTGGGATGGGTTGTCTTTACCTCTGGAAGTGCTTGAAAAAACAAACATGAGCCAATGGCCTGCAGAGATTGGTTTTTTTCCTTCATCAACACAAGAAACTAAATTGACTAATCTTCAGAAGGCCATGTCCAGGGTTTCAGTTTTAGGATTCTCTAGTCAGAAAGGAGGCACAGAGGATTGATGCTATTACTTACATCCAAAACGAGCCAATAAACATTCAATAAATTAGACCATCCCTTACTCTAAGAATCTACCCAGCTTTCATTTTTATCTTTTAAAATATTTAATATTGCCTGATATTATACTTAATATTTAATCAGCTGAGTGAATCAGTTCTTTGCTTTTTTAAATGAATACTCTAAAAGTCAACAAAATTGCTTGGAAGCACATTGATAAACATCAATTTAATACAAATAGGTAGCTCTAATTCCTATAGGCCTTGAGATCACAGGCTTTTATAGTTAGAAAGATATAAAACTTGTATTGCATAATTATGTACTAAATTAAAATCAAATTTTATTTTTATAACAATCCTTCAAAAAACAATAGATGTCCTTTGGGAAAGATATAAAACGTTTCTCCCTGGTTTATAATTTTTCTGAACAGAAAACTCTGTTATGTGCTTAACTTGACATGAAAGCAATTATGTTACAGTTTTGTGCGTTTTTCAGCTAGTTGCTAACACTATCCATTTTAATAAACACTTATGTACTGAAAATGGAGAATTAGGACATCTGTGATATCAATCATAATTTATAAGGACTTATATAGAACCTATATCTACCAAGGAAACATTTACTAATGGATATTTTGAATAGTGTTTCTTGGGGGAAAAAAAAAACGTGTTTTCCTTAGTATAATATAACAAACTCCATTCATCTGAATTACAAATCTTTATTTTTCCAGCAGACATTTTCAAAAGGGGAACATTTGTTTCAATTGCTGCAGGAAAATTAGTTTTACTTTAAACAATTCTGCAAATAAGCTTACTGAAAGAAACACTCCAGCCGGGCGGCAGTGGTGGTGCACGCCTTTAATCTCAGCACTCGGGAGGCAGAGTCTGTGAGTTCGAGGCCAGCCTGGTCTCCAAAGCGAGTTCCAGGAAAGACACAAAACTACACAGAGAAACTCTGCCCTGAAAAAACAAAAAAAACAAAAAGAGTCAGAGACCCACTTGTTTAGCTGGGCAGTGGTGGCACACACCTTTAATCCCAGCACTCTGAAGGCAGAGCCAGGTGGATCTCTGTGAGTTCGAGGCCATCCTGGTCTACAGAGTGAGTTCCACCAAAATGACACAGAGAAACCCTGTCTCGGGGGAAAAAAAAGAAAAAAAAAAAAAAGAAACACTCCAAAAATATTGCTACTGGGGAGAGAACAAAATGTCTTCTAAATTATGGCCAGAGCAAAAATCTGTTTACAAAGGTAAAAGTGCTAAAAACTTGTTCTGAGGAACTAGGGAGATTGCTCAGTAGGCAAGGTGCTTGCTGCTCAAACATGAGGACCCAAGTGGGATGCCCAGCACTCTACTAAAAATCAGATGGATGTCACCCTCCAAACACATGTTCAAGCAAACTCCCACATGTGAACATAAACATGAACACCCAAAAGAAAAATCACTCATGTAAAACAACAACAAATCCTTTGAGACCTCTGTAATTTATAAGAAATGTCCAATGTTGTGTGTGAAAATCACAGAGAAATCAGCAGATGGAAAGAAGTTTGGGGCATGTGAGCTGTATAAGTTAAAGTCCATCTAGAAGAGCACTATAACCCACCTGACAAGGGACGGATGCTAGGAGATTCTCACTCATTAACTTGTGTACTTAGAGTTCTACAAGGCATAGATATGTCAACGTGGGTGGATCCAACTAGACCAGTCATTCTTCTCAGCGTCATGACATCCTCATGTGTCATGAACATTGGGAGGACATAAAAACAAATTAAAGGGAATTAACAGAGTCAGACTCTCAGCTTAGTTGTACGAGGAGTATGGAGAAGGAACATTTATAATCCAAAAACCTTTAAAATATACATAGAAAAATGAATTTGGGGCAGGGAGATGGGTCAGTAGGTAAAAGCATTTGATGAGACAACCTGAGTTCCATCCCCAGATCCATTGGTGAAAGGAGAAAACTGAATTCCACAAGTTGTCCTATGACCTACACACATACTCTGTGGTATACTCATGCCCACAATGACCTATGCACAATAATTAAAAAATAAAATTTAAGTACTAATATAAACAATACCAAAGGATGTATGGCATTCATTAAGATGCCACTGCATAGGTCAAGCATGGTGTAAAGTATCTTTCCTTTCCCTTTATGCCTGTTTGTGTGTACCTGGTGGATAAAGGATTAACTCTTACTTAGAAAACTTAAAAAAAAGTCTTTTTGATAGGAATTTTAGTACTCATTTTGGCAACATATATACTAAAGTTGAAACAATATAGAGAAAATTAACATGGCCCCTGTACAATCATGATACACAAGTTCATAAAGTATTCCATATTTTAAAATAATTAAAATAGGGGCCTGGAGAGATGGCTCAGAGAGGTTAAGAGCACTGACTGCTCTTCCAGAGGACCCAGGTTCAATTCTCAGCACCCACATGGCAGCTCACAACTGTCTGTAACTCCAAGATCTGACACCCTCACACATACATGCAGGCAAAACACCAATGCAAATAAAAGAAAAATAAATTTAAAAAATTAAAATAGATATTTGAAAATGGCTAAGGCTATGCTGGGGGTATATTTCAGTTGGTAAAATGCTTATCTAGAATGTGGGCAGCCCTAGGGTCAATCCCCAGCACCTGGTAGCACTTACCCCTAATCAAAGCTCTCCAGAGGTGGAGGCAGAAGAATGAAGGTCAGCCTCAGCCAGCCAGTGAGTTAAAAGGCAGCCTGGGTTTCCCGAGACCCTGTCTCTATAAACATCAGACAAAATGAAGAACATGCACTTTTGACCCTGCCTTATGATTTTAAGAATTTTTTTAAAAATCATGTTGAGGACTGGAGAGTCAGCTCAGCAGTTAAAAGTCCTTGCTCTTTCAGAGGACCCAGGTTTGACTCCCAACACCCACATGGTAACTCACAAACTTCTGTAATTCCAGTTCCAGAAGATCCAGTGCCATCTTCTTCTTCTGGCCTCCTTGAGTGCAAAGCATGCCCACACTGTGCACAGAGGTACATGCAGGCAGAAAACTCATACACATAAAATAAAGTAACCAGCCAGGCAGTGGTGGCACATGACTTTAATCCCAGCACTTGGAAGGCAGAGGCAGGTAGATCTCTGAGTTCAAGGCCAGCCTGGTTGGTCTACAGAACGAGGTCCAGGGCAGCTAGGGCTACAAAGAGAAACCCTGCTCCAAAAACAAGGGGGAAAAAAGCCTTTTTAAAAAATCATGTTTATAATACTGTTATTTTGCCTGTTATTTGTGACAAATTTTTAATACATACATATATATATATATATATATATATATATATATATATATATACTAGACAGTTAAGTTGTGAAACCTCACGTACCAGGTTTGACAATTACAAAGTCATAGAATATTTTGTGTCATCTGTACTTCCACACATTTCTTCTCCACATTATTTTACACGGTTATATATCCTATTAGTTCACATACTAATGATTTAGCATGTTATTTTACGTCAAAAGCAGCATACTTACTTGTTTATCTAAAGGTAGATGTCACTATGTAGCTCAAAGCTGACCCAGAACACACATGAGCCTCCTACCTCAGTCAGACTCCCTAGTGCTGGGATTAAAATTATTTGTCATTACACGTGTTTGCTCTTTAAAAAAAAAAAAAAGTGAAAAGAAAACCATTATACCATTATAGTGCCTAAAAGGTTAACAATAATTCCTTAAGGAAAATCTGAATTGCTCTTTGTTCTTTGCCTCACTAAGGGCATGGAGTGATTAGAAGTCCTGGAGAAATGGGACAAGCAACACAGTTAAACAGTCCTGAATAATAGAACTACCCTGGAATATCCGAGAACTGCTGACTATCTTCTTTCATGGATATATTTAAAAATTAATGGGGCTGGAGAGATGGCTCAGCAGTTAGGAGTACATGCTGTTCTTCCAGAAGACCTGGGTTCAATTCCCAGCACCCACATGGCAGCTCACAACTGTCTGTAACTCCAAGATCTGACACCCTCACACAAACATACATGCAAGCAAAACATCAATTCACATAAAATAAAAAAATAAATAAATAATTTTAAAAATTAATATAGTTTAGCTGGGCATGGTGGCACATACCTATAATCCCAGCACACAGGAGGCAGAGGCAGGTGGATCTCTGTGAGTTCAAGGCTAGCCTGGACTACAGAGTGAGTTCCAGGACAGCCAGGGTTTATACAGAGAAACTGTGTCTCAAAAAATTTAAAGAAAAAAAAAAGAAAGAAAACAAACAAACAAACCAAAACAAAAAATTAGTATAGTTGGACATGATTAATGTCATGTGTCTATAGTTTCAACTGTATCCCCAGTCCCTGCCTTAAATGAATTATTTTTTTTGAGGGGGGGTTAATCCCAGCAAAACCAAAGAATGGTTGATGTACACCTGTAATCTCAGCCCTTGGGAGGCTGAGCTAGGACAGTCATAAAGTCAAGGCCAGTTTAGGCTACATAGTTAGCCCCTGTCTCAAAAACAAAACAAAACAAAACAAAAAAGCCCTGGAGTTCCTCTGTTGTCTTCTGTATTGTTTGGTTTTGAGTCTCAATGGCTGTGGCTATATTACTCAATGATATAGCACTTGCCTACCATGTACAAGGCCCTAATTTAAATCCCTGTTTCCCCTGGCTCACTTAACCTCCCAACCACTGCATTTGGCTTGAGGTTAAATTTTGTGTTTCTTTGGGATCAATTTTTAGAAAGTTGGCATGTATTTTACCTTATTGCACATCTCAGTCTGCACTAAGCACCTTTTAAACTCCTAACAGCCATATATGGCTAGTTGTTACCATAGCAAACAATCCAGTTTGGAAGAGAAGAAATCTATCCAGGTAGAGAGCATATATGTATACACTGTAACTGTGGAAATCCAATCAGGGGAAGAAGAAATGTTACCAGTGTAGCTTAAATGAAGAAAGGCAGAAGATAGTTGAAGGTTAGTAGAGGGAAGCAGGAAGAACATGAATGAACCATAAAATTAAAAAGATAACATATAAGGTTTTGAACAACTTGACAGTTGAGTCTGTCCCATAAACTACAAGGCTACTGTTAGTGGTCTTTGCATGGAGGTATAAGTCAATGACTTCATCTTTAGGAGAGCACTTTCCTGGCTCCCTTCACTACTCTGCTCTTTCCCACTCCGGGCACTCTCTTCTGGTAGTCCTCCCTGCACTGGCCATACAGAGGAAGGAAGACCTAGATTCCAGATCTCCAAAATGATGATCTCAAAACCCACCAAGTCGGGAGCTAGAAAGATGGCTCAGCGGTTAAGAACACAGGCTACTCTTCCAGAGGACCTAGGTTCTATTCCTAGCACACCCATGACAGCTCACAACCATCTGTAACTCCAGTTCCACAGGATATGATGCCCTCTTATGGCTTCCACCTGCACCAGGCACACACATGGTGCATGGACACACATGTGTAGAGGGCAAAAAGTGTGCACACAAATAAGCACCGGAGAAGCCAGGAAGTTATACTTGCAGGCATCTTTCAAGGAAAATATTTTTAACCTGTCCTCCTCCTGGAATACTAGGTATGGATGTAGTCTATAACCTAGTGATCCTTTGCTGTCTGGCGAGCCAGGCTTTGCCCTTATCTTCTAGAATTTGTTTTATTTCTCCCAGACTCTTTCCCCTTAAAACTTGAGCATTACTTCTAGGCCATAATACTCATCCTTGTGAGAGATGTCATATGTACTTTACAACAGCCTAAGTGACTTCTATGTTATCTTCGAGTCAGGCCAATCCTGACTCCCACAGGCATTATGTTTACCTCAGTCATTCTCCCTAGACCAGTGCTTCTCAACCTGTGAGTCTCAAGGTGGAATATCAGATATCCTGCATAGCAGATATTTCCACTAAGATTCAGAAGGTTAAGAACCACAGTCCTGCCTTTAATCCCAGCACTTGGGAGGCAGAGCCAGGCGGATCTCTGTGAGTTCGAGGCCAGCCTGGGCTACCAAGTGAGTTCCAGGAAAGGCGCAAAGCTACACAGAGAAACCCTGTCTCGAAAAACCAAAAAAAAAAAAAAAAAAAAAAAGAACCACAGTCCTACACCCTTAGCTTGAGCATTGTTTCGAAGTCAATAAGAACCCAGAGTGCAGACATGTACTTTGTCAAGAGTTTCAGTGTAAATATGGCTTCAGCTTTGTTGTACTCACAGGACTGAGTTAATTATTATCTGAAAACTCTTTTCCACAGTTGTGTTATGCTTAAATAGGGCAAAAATAAATGAGCTGAGATCAGACTGTAGAAGTCCTGGCTCAGCACTAGTGCCGAAAAATCAGGCTGAACCGAATTTTGTTCTGGTCTCTTCCCAGATTGTTTTCCTGCCTGCTGTAAAGCCTTCAAGGACTCTCCACATATATACTTGCAAAAAAATATCTATTTATTTATTTTTGGTTTTTCATGACAAGGTGAAGTTTGTCCTGAAACTCACTCTGTAGACCAGACTGACCTCAAACTCATAAAGATCTGCCTGCTTCTGTATCCTGAGTACTAGCATTAAAGGCATGTAGTTAAAGATGTGCACCACCACTACCCAGCTAAAAAATAAAATAAATTTACAAAAACACTGTTATATTAAAGATATACTCCAGTTATAAGTCAGTCATGGTGATGCACGCCTTTAATTCCAGCACTTGGGAGGCAGAAGCAGGCAGATCTCTGTGAGTTCAAGGCCAGCCTGCTCTACAAAATGAGTTCCAGGACAGTCAGAGCCACATAGAGAAAACCTGTCTTGGAAAAAAAAAATACCCCATACTTTCTTTTTCTCCAAGACTATTTTTTTTTTTTTTACAAAATTTGTACAAAATGCTCATATGTCTAAAAACAGAATAAGGGTGGAGGGAGGAGAGTTCTAGAGTGTGAAGTAGTGGTTTGGGACCCAGACTGCCATCTACTCCACCACACTCTACCAGCAGAGGGAAGTTCACCACCTGACTACACCACATTCTTGACAGTAACTACAACTCACACCAGGTTCACTTCTTTCTTTCTCCTGCCCTCCCCAGCTCCTCCTCTTCCTTCGAGATTCCAGGAATTGAATCCTAGGGCCTTGCGTGTCCTAGTCAAATGCTCTGCCATTGAACTACATCCCCAGCCCACTTTGCTCTCTGCCAGGAATGGAAGTCGTTACTTTGCAGATACAAGACCACTGACCACCACCCCGAGCTCTGGAGCCAGTGGTTTCCAAGAAGCTGTCTGGACATGACAGCTGGGCTTTTGGAAACAGTTGTTTGAAAACTTTCTCGACAATTTCCACTTCTTCCTCTTCCTTTTCTTTTTAAATTGGTTGTTGTTAGTTTTTGTGGTTGTG